CTGAGATCTTCATGCTTTTGTTGTGTTTGTAAATCAGCCTCCCCAGTCCTTATCCTCATATTCCTTATAATCTGAACCATACCAGTAAACCCAGACTATTATACATTAGCAACCAAACTTGGTAGTTTCATAAAGTAAGTGTAAGGAAGTTCTGAATAAGAACTTCATGGGAGCCCTGGCCGGTTTGGCTCAGCGGTTAGAGCGTTGGCCTGCGGTCCGGAGAGACCCGGGTTCAGTTCCCGCTAAGGGCACGTACCTCGGTTGCAGTTTGTCCCCAACCCTGGCCAGTCGTGCGAGTGGCAGCCACTCAATGTGTCTCTTTCCCGTCGATGTTTCTCTCTCTCTCTGTTCCTCTCTCTTCCTCCCACTCTACCTGAACAAAAAACAAAAAAAAGAACTTCATGGGAACTCACGAATACACTACACACACTTTGTGCAATAGTTTTAAGAACAAATCTTTTGCTGACTCAAAGGTTTCTTTTGCTGCCTTCCAGATTCAGGCCTTGCAGGTTTCTGGCACCTGTACCGAGCTAAAGGGAATGTGAATTCCATTTAAAACTGCCGTCGCATCTTTGTTTTCTCACTCACCACCGCTTTGTTTGCAGCGCCAGCCAGGTCTGGGCTGGACGGACCTGAAAATCACTTTTGGTTTTTAGATTTCTTTTGGCTTTTTAGCACCTGCTGTATATTCCATAACCTCATCGTGCTAGGTTCCCTTGGGTAGGTACGAGCAAGATGGTTCAGGCCCAAGTGGGCACTGCTCCTCAGTTCTGTGCCTCTGATCAGAGGGGCAGAGGGGCAGGCAGATCAAGCCCATCGCCTGTGCAACCAGGAAAGAGATCTGTCTGCCCCGTGCAGGCACCCCAATGCCTACAATTTGTTCTGGAGGAACACTTCTCATTTAGTGGATGGAAGGGAAACAAAAGACCTCGTTCTCTGTCCCAAGCTAATGACTTAGCAATTCCCCATAAATTTTTTGTTCATCTTACAACAATGTGTTAATAAGGTTTGGAAAAGGCCTGTAGTATAATATAACAGGTCTGGCCCGGCTTTTAATACGTCTTCATGGGGTGTGTCTGGTTTCCTTGATGACTCTATTTTAAACAATATTTCTAGACTTTGGATGCCATAGGAGTCATCTGGAAGCTTTTAAAAAAAACTGCTGACTAGATCCCACTTTTAGAAATGTTGATTTAATTGGTCTGGAGCAGCAGGCTGGTTTAAGAATTCCACAAGTGTGTCTATGAGTAGCCTTGGCTAAGGAATGCTGGTTCCGAATGTGGGTGGTAACCAGTCTAATTAATTTTATTCACGGGCTTTTAATTTTTCTCCTGGAAGAATCCCATTTAGTGTCCTGTTACATAGAGTCAGAGGAAATGCAAGCGTTCCTGTAATGTTGGGGCTGAAAGAACCTGAAGGATCGTTTTGTTTCCTTTCTCTCCAAATGGGGTGTGTGAACCAACTTCAGAATCACCAAGCAGTTGTTTAAAAGACACATTTTTGAGTCTTATTCTCACACTTCCTGAATCAATCTCTCTGAGGTGGAATTGAGGCACCAGGAACCTTAGTAAGTTCACCTAGACTGTTCTTTGTCACATTCATGATTCAGAACCGTTACTCTGTACAGGAGCTTCTCAACCCCGACTGCAAATTAGAATCACATGGAGGCTATAAAAATCGCCATGCCAACTAGGCCAGTGGTCCTCAACCCTGGCTGGACTTGAGCATCACCTGGAGGGCTTTACAAAACCTCATGCCCAGACCCCACCCTGTGCCAGTCACATCAGACTCTCTAGGGGTGGAACCCAGTCATCTATGGTTTTTAAATCTCTCCAGGGATACCCATCTGTAACCAAGGGTGAAAACCATGTTCTGAATATTCTGGTTCATTTTGTTTGGGGTGGGTCTTAGCATTAATCATTTTTAAATGCACTCCTGATCGTTTTAATGTGCAGCCAAGGTTGAAAAGTGATGAATATCACAGGTTTTCACCTTTCTGAACTTTCTCCAGGGTTGCCCCACACCAGACCCAAGTCAGTTTTGACCAAGGCTGATAGGTCTGGTCTCATGGGAAGTTATGTGTCTACCTAGACATAAATCTCTAACCCCTTCCTTTCTGAGCCTTTCTCATTCATTAATCTATCACTCATTCAACAAACATATATTAAACCCCTAATATTTGCTAAGTACTTGCACTATATTATGGATACAATGACAAATAAGATATTGTTCTGACACCTCAAGAGCCTTATAGATTTGCAAGGGTATTTTTTTTTTCTTTTTCTTTTTTTTTTTTTTTTTTTTTGCAAACAGGTATTGCAGAGAGAAGACATGATTACTGTGGATGAATGAAAAAAGGCCTGTAAGCAGCTAAATCTGCCTTGAAGAAACAGGGAAGACATGCCTAAGGAGGTGCTATTTAAGCCAAGGCTTCCCGACATGACCTATAAAACACCCTCCATGATGTGATTTCTCTCCACTTCCTTTCTTGCTCTCTTGCCCTGGTTGCAACTTCAGCCATACTGAACTCCTTTCAGTTCTTTGAATGCCCACACTCTCTTGATAAGACTTCAATCTGCATTTATTTTCCTGGAACATTCTTCCATTTTCCCCACTTGCACCTCCTACCTAGACTCTGCTTAGCTGTTGTTACTGCCACAAAGAGGTCCTCTCTGACCTCACGGATGATGATAAATGTCTGGTATAGGTCCATGCACTGACTTGCAGTACTTCTTTTACAGCACACACCCACTTTATTGCACATCTATGACCCCTTAAATCTGTAAATTTCTTGAAAGCAAGAGCAACCAGCTGTCTCCTGGGACACTATGTGTTCCTGCCACTCCTAGATGAGTCAATGAATTGTATTCCAGGCACAGGGGGTGACATGTGCAGAGTCATAGAGGCATGAAATTCTGTGGCATGTCCTAGAGTAACAAAAATGTCGGGCGGACAAAGTATAAGATGGGCAGGAGGAGGTTTCTAGAGCCAAGTCAGAAGAGGCCGGTTGTTAAGGACCTTGTGTGTAACCCGAAGTGTTCTGAACTTCACCCTGTAGGCAGTGGGAAGCCAGAGAAGGCTTTATGTGGGGGAGTATAACAATGAGGTTTATCATTCAAAACAATCATTCTGGAAGCAGTATGGAGTATGGACTGAAAAAGAAAAAAGATTAATTGAAAGAACAGTTAGGGAATGTTCCAATACTATGGCTAAAAAATAATAAAGGCTTCCCTGAAGTATAATGAAGCAAAGAGGCTCCATTCAAAAAGCATTTTTGAGATAAAATCTATAGTACTTGCTGACTAGCTGCTTGCAAGGGTGAATGTGAAAGAGGATGCCATGGCCTAGCTTAAAAGACAAGCTGGGGATGCTGTAGTGGAAATAGGAATATAGGAAGAGAAGAGCTAGTGTCAAGATTTTTTTTTTTAAAAAAAAAAAGCTCATTGTTAAACATGATGAGAATTTCATTTAACTGAGGACATCTAAGTGTAGAGTCTTTTGTGCAATTAGATATGCATAAAATTCTTAGCTTGGTACCTTATTGATTGTGGATGTGGCTGGTATTGTCCAATTGACTATGTTGACTTCCCGTTTATGTACAAAAAGACAAACTTTTGAAAATGGCAGTGTCGTATTGATTTCATGATTTGTGCTTCTTTTGGCCACGATTGGCAATCAGTTTGGCAATACATCAAGGAAAAATCTTCATTTAAGTCACTTATTGCGTATGTTCATTGTTTAGATACATTCACCTATGAAAACCCCACCCAAATTCTGGGGTGGAAACGATTTTATTTTAGGTAGCTAGGCTGTAGTATTCCTTTCTCGTCTGATGGTGAATTCAGAAAGGAAGTGTCTTATTCTTCTTATTAAATTTAGTGCCACAGCTACTAGGAACACAGATTAGTGGATGGATGGACAGATGAATTTATAATCTGATGGCAGGGCTATGGAATACTTTCTGGAACTAATCACTTAGGAATTGAAAACCTCTGGTCTATACATAAATGTCTAAGAGAACGTTCAGTGGGTGTTGACTGTACACAGCCACAGAGGTAGAAGAGATCGCCATAGGCATTATTAAAATGGCCTTTCATCATAACATTTTCTCCTGGCAATGCAAAACCAACTTGGGAATTTTGAAGCTATGGCAATAAAATACTGTGTTTCTTGATGCATGAACCTTTGATACTGTTCAGTGAAAGAGAAGCATTTATATTAATTGTTATTAAAAACTCGTTTGCTTGGTATTGTCCTAGAAGCTGGTAGGTGGTTACACGATCATTTTCTTATTTTAGGAAGATAACTTTGTGAACCCGTGAAGAGGCTGGAGGAGAAAAAATGATTCCAGTTGGATAGAACAGAGATGATGGTGAGGGCCTGGAATAACTCAATGGCAGTTAAATGGAGAGAGCCCATCAATTAATTCATTCATTATCAAACATTTATTCACTGTATTATACCAAACTCTGGGGATGCAGTGATGACCAAACCAGATAAAGTTCTACCCTGTAGGAGATTATAGACAAGATGAAGAGATGTACATTAATCAAATCATTATACTAATAAATGTAAAATTGCAGATGTGATAAATGTGGTATGGTTAAGAAAAAGTCAAACTGAGAAAACCATCTGAGAAATAGAATTGACAGGACTCATTTGCTTATTGGGGTATCAGAATAAATAAAAGACACATTTCCTGCTCTTTGTCTGAAAGAACAGTCAAACTGCCCATCCATATATTATATTATATATCCATATATATTATGTATGAAATGACACCAAAGAAGATGTATTCAGTGACAAAATGTGTGAAATAGAATAAAATGGCTTTTTAGCAAAAGAGTAGTAGATCAATAAACTATGAATTGTAAATTCTGATTTTATAGTTAATTCCACTTAATTGTCATCATCACAATTCAGTTGGAGTGATGGTGCTTTGCTGATGAGACACAGTTTACTCTAGGTCTTTTCATTTTGATTTTCTTTTTTTTATTCAGATGTTGCCAGAGCAATTGAATTACTGGAAAAACTACAGGAGTCTGGAGAAGTTCCAGTGCACAAGCTACAATCCCTTAAAAAAGTGCTTCAGAGTGAGTTTTGTACTGCTATTCGAGAGGTATGATACTCAGATTCTAATAACTATGTTCAGCCATATATCTTCTGAGTGGAAAACATGTCTTTTCCACACAAACAGTTGAAATGCTTAAGATTGGAACTACATTTCTGCCTTCTGTTTTTAGCTCCTTGGACAGATGATAAAATATAATTTAGTCTGCTAAATTCTTGAATTAGATTCAATCAGGATTTGTATGTTCACATAAAACCAAATGTTGACCTTATGGTACCAATAAAGTGACTGGCTTAGCAGGTAACTGTTACATATAGTTTAAACTTTTCAGTGGTCACATGAAGTCATCTGGAAATTCAGTTAGAAATAGTCATAATTAATGAGGGCTGAGATTTTTTTAAAAAAAAACATTCAGCTAAATCTTTCACAAGCAAATCTGAAAGAGTAACCTCCTACTGACTAGTTATAGTTATCCAAACATTACTGTCTAGTGCAGCGATTTTCAACTTTTTTCATCTCATGGCACATACAAACTAACTACTAAAATTCTGCAACACACCAAAAAGTATATTTTTTGCCAATCTGACTAAAAAATAGGTATAATTTTGATGGGTTTACAATAAATAATAATAATAGTGGTAATTACCTACCCTTATTTCTCCAACGTGACTTTTAAAAAAATTAAGTGCCTATACTTGTATGTAAGAATTAACCAATGAGATACAACCTTATTATGAGAGGTGACTTATAAAGTTGAAATAAGATTCAACTTTATTATGACCTATATATTTATTGTTCAAGACAGGACATTCATACTGGATTGCTATTGTTGTGTTGGCTATTGTCCTTTTCATTTTGACAATCTAAGGGTAAAGAGGTCAGTGCCTCTGACTAAATAATCAGGTATTGCATGTGTTAAAAATTCTTACAGCACGTGGGTTAAAAAATCACTGGTTTAGTGCAATAAAGGAAAATCTGGACAGGTGCCCTTCTAACACATCTCTGTAATGCTCTCCTGGCTAATGGTTTTAAGATTCCTAAGGTGAAAACAGTATATAGTAATGACTATTTGAATTTTGTATTGACTTATGTGGTGGAATTGACTTGACAATGAATGAATTGAATTGTTTACAAAAAAATTCATATGAGAGATATATGCTATGTTGCTTTTTGAATAAAATAATATTCAGTAAGCCCATCACCTCTTCCCCATCAGGTACTAAGTAATTATTTCTTAATTTGAACCTAAAGTCCATAAATCTAGTATATCTGCCTTGCTAGAAGTCTCCAATAATGAATTACCTACCATCATCTTCTCCAAAGAGTTGAACCTAGTGACGGCCTGGACAGTTCCTTGTATCAGAGGGAATGCTTGTATCAACCTCCCTCTCTGCAACTCTGCTTGCAGCTAATGCACACTCTTTTATTTTTATTTTTTAATCCTCACCCAAGGATATATTTTCATTGATTTTTAGAGAGAGAGGAAGAGAGAGAAAAAGAGAGAGAGAAACATAAATTAGCTGCCTCCCGCATGTGCCTCAGCTGAGGATGGAACCTGCAAACTTTTGGTGTAAGGGATGAACTTCAAACAACTGAGCCACCCAGCCAGGGCAACGCACATTCTTTTACTGCAACAATGTTAGTTTATGTGTAGTCACTAGGTGGGAAAGACCCAGGTGACTAAGGTGGAGACATGTAACACCTCTCTCACTGTAGATTAAACTGTAGCCTACCCAATGAGGTTACATTTGGCTTTTGCCAGCTTTAGGCTGTACTTGTGCTAAATCTTTGTCATATGAAGTTACTGATTATTTAATTTTTGTTTATAATGAATACAGCTTGAGTAAATAACCATAATTGTGTCTCCAAGTTCTAATGTATAAAGTTGAACAAAGGCTACAGGGAAATTTCTCAGTGTGTGAACTCTTGGCCACCAGCTACTCAGTAGGAAAGGTAAAAGATGTGTGGAAAGTCTGTGGGTCTCCTCCTGGTCAAACTGCTGCAGCCACTCTGCAGACAAAGGTTAAATCTCTCATACATTCTTTTCTTTCTCCACAGAGTGCTACTTCCCTGAGCTCTGGTATCCAGCTTTTCATTTTTAGACATTCTGTCACCTCTTTTACTTTCCACAGGACTAACTAAACAATAGGACACATCAAATATGTTCTGTTGCGGCATAATGAATTGATGGTACTTTTCAGACACCCATGTAGAGATATCTAGCAGGCATCTGAGTCTGAAGCTTGGGGGGAAAGTTGGGTCTGGAGTTGTAATTGTGGTATAGATACCTGTTCAAATCAACACACAAGCCTTTTTCAAAAGAGAGAATGAGAGTAAAAAATAAATATAGAGACATTATATAGGAGTTATAAATATACCTTACAAACACTGTGTTAAAGTGGGGTATGAGTGTCATTAGAGGTCAGTGAAAACGTGTAGGCATAGGCAGTCCAACAGTGTCAGAGGGAAAAAGATGATACAATTTATCTGCCTTACATTTTTAAAAGTTGAACTAGTAAGGTTAATTTTATATGCAGTGTAATGTTCTTATAATTATTTTGTTCTTCAAGGCAATGCATGTTATACAGAAATTATTTTGGTGACTTCATCTTGGCTAACATTTCAAATGAGTTGCATGGTATTATTTATATTCATTAAGTTTGGAATTTCCTTTATTATTTTTTTGTGTCACTTTACATTAATTGTGGGAAGTAATGGTAAAATTAGCAATATGTATACAACAATTCTGAATCATAAAATACTCTGAATCAATGTAGTCAAAGTTTTTCAATAGAAACATAAAATATGAATACATGTTGTCAGGCAGGTGAATCTGTAGGCCAATAAAGAAAAATGCACCCATAGCCAACATCATACTCAATGGGAAAAAACTAAAAATGTTTTCCTCAAGATCAGGAACAAGACAGGGATGTCCATTTTCACCACTTTTATTCAATATAGTGCTAGGAATCCTAGCTACCACATTCAGACAAGAAGTAAAAATAAAAGGCATTCAACGGCATTGGAAAGGAAGAAGTAAAACTGTCGTTATTTGCAGATGAGATTATGTGTGTGTGTGTGTGTGTGTGTGTGTGTGTGTGTGTGTGCACTGTATATAGAGAACTCTAGGGATTCCACACAAAAATTTTCTAGAACTGATAAATGAATTCAGTAAAGTAGTTGGATACAAAATAAATATCCAGAAATCAGTTGCATTTTTATACACCAATGATGAACTATCAGAAAGGGAGACTAAGAAAACAATCTTATTTACAATCTCATAAAAAAAAAAAAATACAGAGGAATAAATTTAACCAAGGATGTAAAAGAACTATACTTGGAAAATGCTAAGACACTAAAGAAAGAAACTGAAGAAGATACAAATAAGTGGAAGCATATGCCATGTTGATGGATAGGAAGAATTGACATCATTGAAATGTTTATACTACCCAAAGCAGTCTATAGATTCAACACAATTCCTATCAAGATACCAGTGGTGTTTTTTACAGAACCAGACCAAATATTCTAAAAACTTATATGGAACCCAAAAAAGCTCAAATAGCCACAGTAATCTTGAGAAAGAAGAACAAAGTTGGAGGAATCACTCTAGTATAATTAGGAAATATGATCATGTTCAGTGGCAAATATCTGAAAATTAAATTCTGTTGATCCAAGAATCCTTTTATTCTTGGTCTCTTAGGTACTTTTATGTTGGCATGAAACCTTTGAAGTTTTGGTTTCTTATTCAAGTAATATTCAGAATCTGTCATTAAATTATTTGAGTTTTCCAGAAATATTTGCAAGTTAATACTTTCCAGTGTGAAAGTTATGAATTTTTTCATGACAGGCGGAGAAGAGAACAAGAACTTACAGTGGCATTATTCTTAGTTTTATTCACCAGAGCAGAAACAGGTACAGGTCATGGCATTGCCAACAAGCCTGTAAAATTCAAATTACGCTCAAAAAGCAAGTAGGGCAATAAATGCCAATTTTGTAATTGCCTTACACAAGCATAACAGTAGTTATTGTTACATATTGAAGCAATCCCATATTTTGTTTTACATTTTGATGAAACCACTTAATCAGCTCTTGGCATAGGTGCAGCTCTTATGTGGGAAGAATAATTTAATGAAATTTTATTTATTTATTTATTTATTTTTTTACTGCAAATGCATGATTAAAAGAGATGAGATGTTTTGTCTCTTTAACTATTTTTCTGTAATCTGTAATAAAGACAGAAATCATTTTTTGTGGAGATCAGCATCGAAGCACAACCATCTGTGCATTGATCTATTAATGAATATGTTGCACTTAAATGCCAATCCACACACAGCTTTATTCATAGAATATAGATAATAGTAGGCAGTTCTTATATTGCTTGTGTTTTATTGCTGAAGGAGCTAGAAAGGACCTGATTAATAATTAAATCGCTCCCATTCTGTGCAGGTAATTTCAGGGAGCACAGCAGATAAATGGGCTGACAATGTTGCTTTCCCATAGTGAGAGGTACTGACTGACAAATTTTTTAATGAAAGATGAAATAAAACATTTTTATGATACTGCCCTGGCCCATGTGGCTCAATCGGCTGGAGCATCACCCCATACATCAAAGGGTTGTAGGTCTGATTCCCAGTTAGGGCACATACCTGGGTTGTGGGTTCAAGCACTGGCTGGGGCGCATATAGAAGGCAACTGATTGATGTTGCTCTCTCCCCCCGCCTCAAATCAATGAACATATCTTTGGGTGAAGATAAAAAAATGGTACTGATTGTCCCAGTGATGACCATTTCTGTGATTTTAAGTGGCTTCCTTAAGTTTCTGTTTATCACTGTGTTAATTAGCTTGAATGATCCAAACTTATACATTGAATATAATAAGGGAATTTAAAGATTGAAATATACAGATTATATAATGTTGATTTTGGATAAAAGAATTTTGTAAGAGAATTGAATTGCCGTTCAAATGGCTTTATGGCCAAGAGACGGACTTTTCCTGACACTTTGTTCTTTGGGCCTCAGAGAA